TACACAACATGTCTACACAACATGTCTACACAACATGACTACACACATGTCCACACAACATGTCATGTCCCGCTCTACCCAGGCCCTCCCCCTCACCTGAGAGAAAACTACAGTTATTCTGGTTTTTGTGTCTGACCCCGATATTTTCAGTGGGTTAGGGTTAACTGTGCATGTCCCTAATATATTTTCAGAATCTTTGTCCAAACCCGCCAGGAGTGAAGTTTCCACACTGCTTCATCTTAAACTCTGAAAAACTCTAAATGTCTGAAAACAGCAGAAACTATTTTGTCAAATTAAAGTTTTGTTGACACCACAGTCTTCGAAACTACAGGTGCCCCTGCAGGCAGAAATGAGTCATTACAGGCTGCTGCCGACAGAAGCTCAGGTTTTATGTTAGTGTGGCGTTCAGCAGGTGTTTTCAGGAAGTCTTGGCGTTTTGCAGTGGCAGCTTCCTGCGGTCCTTCCCAGCGTTCCTCTTCCTCTTCTTACTCAGGAAGTTCTGCAGTTTCCCGCTCTTCTTCAGCTCCTGGTATTTCTCTGCCAGCTGCAGTTTCTTCTTTTCCGCTGAGAACAAAAACAGAAGAGTTGACTTTAGTTTGAGAGTTAAAACACAAAATGTGACACAAGACAAAAATTCAGATTAAAGTGATTTTAAAAAACAACTGAACAGAATCCAGACACTTGCTCGCTCTTACATTTCTTAAGGAAGAAGGGTTGAGCTCCCTGATTGGCTCGCTCTCTCTGCTGCCTCTTGAACTGCAACTCTCTCTCTCTCTGCTGCTCTCGGCTCTTCCTCGCGCGCTCCTGGTTCTCCTGCGGGTCAAAGGTCACATGCATTTCAACAAACTCTCAAGCTTTTTTGTTTCCTGGAAATGAAACGTTTTCTATTATTCTGATTGGATGGCAGCAGATGTAAACAGAACCCTCACCATCCTCTTCAGGAGAAACTGAAGTTTCTCCTTTTTCTCGTTACTCATCTTCTTCCTCTTCAGCTGCTTCTGGACGACCTGCGGACAAACACCGTGAAGTTTCATCTTCAGTCCAATGTCGTCCACAACAATTTAACTCAAACTGAAAAAGTTGGTTTGTTCCTCACCTCTTTCTCTCTCTGTCTGATGTTATCAATGAATTTGTACGTCTTCTCAAAGATCTCTGGCTTGTATTCTCCCGACAGGTCGTCAAATCGAGGATCTCTCAGCGTCTGAAGAGACAATCGTTCAAACGGAGTTTTCGAAAACACTGACTCAGCTCCACAGACTTTCTCCACTCACCGGTTTCTTGATGGCAACGACCTGACGAAGGAACGGCGCCGGTTTCTTGGCTGAAATCTCCATTGGTCTGAAATCAAACATAAAAACTACATGAACAACTCGTACAGGTTTAAAGAGCAGAGACGTGTCACATCACACCCGAATCTGAAGGAGTCGTCAGAGACGAGTCACCTGTTCTTGTTCAGTCGTTTCTTCTTGCCGGTCTCGTATTTCTTGCTGTTGCCATAGGTTACCTCGTTGTAAACTTTGGTTCCGACTTTATTCTGCAGCTTCATGACGTCTTCAAACGACATGTTGGACAATTCTGAAGGAGGAGTGTAAAGTTCCATTCAGTCACAAGATGGCAGCGTTCAATGGAAGAAAGTTTGGCTTTATATTATACAGTCAGTGATCGTCTTTATATACAGTCAGTGTCTTTATATACAGTCAGTGATCGTCTTTATATACAGTCAGTGATC